GATAGATACATAGATGATAGAGAGATATAGTGAGAGATTTTTTAGATAGATAGATAGATTAGAGAGATATAGTGAGAGATTAGATAGATAGATAGATAGATAGACAGACAGACAGACAGACAGATGATAGATAGATAGATACATAGATGATAGATACATAGATGATAGAGAGATATAGTGAGAGATTTTTTAGATAGATAGATAGATTAGAGAGATATAGTGAGAGATTTGATAGATAGATAGATAGATAGACAGACAGACAGACAGACAGATGATAGATAGATAGATACATAGATGATAGATACATAGATGATAGAGAGATATAGTGAGAGATTTTTTAGATAGATAGATAGATTAGAGAGATATAGGGAGAGATTAGATAGATAGATAGATAGATAGATAGATAGATAGATAGATAGATAGATAGATAGATACGTAGATGATAGTTTAGAGATATAGTGAGAGATTCATTAGATGGATGGATGGATGGATGGATGGATGGATAGATAGATAGATTAGAGAGATATAGTGAGAGATTCATTAGATGGATGGATGGATGGATGGATGGATGGATAATTATTTTGACTTTTGCAGATCGATATTACAATCAAAGATGCTATTGGCCGGTACCACCAGTGTGCTACGATCCAGCTTGATTTCCAGCTACCCGTCCGGTTCAATTTGACGTATGTTGGGTAAGTATCCACAACCCAAGGTTGTAACCCTGAGGAATCGGGGGAGCTTTGGAAGGCTTTGCAGAAAAGCCTGTGACCAAAGAGGCTGAAAACAGGAAGGAATGGCAAGGCGATGGAGCAAAGGGGGTAGCAACGAGGCGAGGAGGAATTAAACCAGTTCAGATGCTCGATCTGCACTTAGGCAGTTCCCGAATGTCCTTCAATCCAACTGTGTGGCCAGAAGGATTAGAGAAATGTTTGATATTTTGTATTTGAGCATGGAGGGACTGTGGGGGTCCTTGGTGCTCTCTGAGCTTGGTGGTTTTCTTGCAGGCGTTTCATGACCCAACTAGGGAATGTCATCAGTGCTAGCTGAAAGAAGGAATATTGCATTGTGCAAAGATGAAGGGGGATAGGAGCAGAAACAGAAACGTCAGTGCTTAAATCAGGCATCTCCAATCTTGGCAACTTTGGCAACTCCCAGAATTATGGGAGTTGAAATCCACCAGGCTTAAAAGTTGCCAAGGTCGGAGAGGCCTGGCTTAGACATCTTATATATTTTTATTATTTTTACATTTAAAACAGCACCCCAGAGTCAAAGTGGCCATACATTCACATTATACACAATTAGTCTCAACCATTTAACTATTAGCCTACTCAGTGCATTATCTATCCTTCTGTCCAATCACAATATAATACAGTTTGTTCCAGTCTTGTCACCTTGTCTTACACCAATCGTAAAATCTGTTCCAGGCTTCGAAATATTCCGATTCCCCTTTATTTTTTAAGTTCAAGAGTGAGCCTATCTGCTTCTGCGCAGGCCAACGCTTTTCTGATTATATCCAGCTCCTGGCTTAGACATTTGATGGCGACTTCCTTAAAAGGTCTCTTAAGGGGCAAGGAATAACCGGAACCGTAGCCTTATTTGGCCACGTTGCACGGCGGAAAACGATGAAACCTGTTGTGACTCAGCAGAAGTCTGCTGTGAGTTGAGTCGGGATGCAAGATTAACAATGCAGCTGGGGCTCGTTAGTGGCGTCTTCTGGTGATAATAAGGACGGATGGTGCCACGTCCTGGTTGCAGGAGTCAACGTTCATCGTTCATGGTTTGTTTGTGAGAGACACTTGGAGAAGTGATTTGCTTTCTGTAACCCTGATTCAAGGAGACACTTGGAGAAGTGATTGGCTTTCTGTAACCCTGATTCAAGGAGACACTTGGAGAAGTGAATTGCTTCGTAAGAGTTTT